TCCCCCCCCCACCCAACCCTGCTGCCCATGCAGCTCCCTGCTGCCCCTGAAGATGGCTCCCCCCGTTTCCTCCACCTCCCCAGACCCACACGCAAAGCACGTGACGCCCCAGCCTCCAATCACCTTTTCCCATTGCCCCCAGCTCCAAACATCTCCTTGCTGGGGCAGGTAGGAAAGTACTGGGAAATCGGAGCAAAATCCTGGACATTTGCTGATATTTCAAAAAAAACACCTGGACGGACATGGGAGGACCCAAAAAGGGGACATGTCCAGGAAAACCTGGAAGTGTGGTAACCCTACTAATGCAGAGTGAAAATAAGCTACTGGTCAGCTTGCAGAACTATGAACTACCTTGATGAACCCAGTGTGTATGGACAAACCAGCAAGTCTTTTATGGAGGAAAACCATACCTCTCTCAGCTGAATAAATGAACAATTTTCAACATGACAAAATATGCAGTTTCCTAAAGTTGCTAATAATTATCTAATATACCAATTTAATGATGTGAAAAAGTGGGTGAACACTGAGTTGGTTAAATTAGATGAGAAGAACTTATTTATCTCTGATCAAAGTTAGAGAAGACTGTGAGAATTAATAAGGACTTAGCCAAGCAAGGTGAATGGGCAGTGTGTTGGCAGAAATTTAGAGAAATGCAAAGGAATTCATAAATGAAAGCACAATTTGAACTATGCCTGTGTTTGATGGGTTTAAACTAGCTGTAACCAGTCAAGTAAAAAACGCCTATGTGTCACTGTGCAAAGCTCAATGAAAACATCTGCTTGATGTGCAGCAGGGGTCACAAAAGGGAAAAAATATTGGACATGTTGAATGGGAAGTAATATAGCATATTATCATCAAACAATGCGGTTATATGAATTAATGAGACATCCTCACCTGTGCAGCGTTAAACTCTGATGTCCCTGTCTGTAAAAAGGCAAGTCTGAAAAAGCTCCAGGCGAAAGGTTCCTGCTCCAACTATTCCTAACCCAACTGTTCCCTTGGCTAAGCTTCTGCACCCCCTTGCTGTTATCCTCACCTTCTCTCTTCCCACTCCTTCTATTTTTTTAAATCTATCTTATTCAAGACCAAATCAGTTCTGAATTCTATTGGGCAAAGCCCAATAGTCAAGTTTCAAAATTTGATAAGAGCTAAGTTGTCAAATCCATGTGGCTCTACTACTAGGCAAGTATCCTCCTTCCCACACCAATTGGTCTGGAGCTTCTGATACCAGGTCCCAAATCCAGGCAGGCCCCAGGCCTGAATGCCTTGAGATTCAGATGTCCCCAGTCTCACTTGACCCCAGCCAAAAGGCCCCCTCCTTCACTCAGGTTTCTTTACTGCTTACCACTGTGAAATGACCTAAGAGCTAAAAATATGGCTGTGTAATACTTTATACAACAGACAAGCATGAATTGGCCCTTGCAGGAGACACAATGGGCTCACATCTGTTTGTTAAGGATTATAAAAAAGTTTCTTATGAGTAATTTCAACAGCAAACTATATCGTGGTTCTTTTGTTCTCCAGCACTCATAACAATTAAACGGTTAATTTCCCCCCTTTAACTACCTTCAGCCCACAAAAGAAACAAAGGAAATCACAGCTATTCAGCTTCAAAACATCTTGTTAAATCACAGTACAGACTTATGCAATTAACCCTACAAAAGCTGGAATTTCACAGCTATTGTCTAATGCTCCAACTTGAGGAAAGGGGGCTTTAAACCTAGCCTTTTTTGTTCCTGTCTGTTGGCACAGCAGTCACAGTTAAGGTCAGGTGTCAGACCAGATTTAAACCATAACTGTCTATTTCCTTGTTTTTGTGAGCTGAAGTTAGCTCCTTATTGTGATTTAAATTGGTCACCATATACATGGGGAGGAGGGGTTCAATTAAGCTATGAAACAAAGAATATGACTGCTTTCAGGGCACAAATGCCTGCATATTTCCCTGTGTATTGTAAGTATTTCAGCAAGAGCTTCCAGTGATTTCTGCTAAATGTGCTATTGACACATGCATTTTATAGCTTCATTTGGAGTTCTTTCATATGCGGATGATTCTTTCACTCTTCTGTTGCAAATGGCAGCTGCACATTTACTCTAGTTAGGACTTCCTTGTAACAGGGTTCTCTCACCCAGCATTTCTTAGATAGTCTTTTGCACGGCATGTGTATTGGAAACATTTGGGAGCTTTATGGAATGCAATTTTAAGTCCAGCAAGCAAAACAAAAAGAGGGCAACTCAGGCCATGACAGAGCAAGCTAGCTAAGCATGTGCTTAACTTTAAAGATGTGAGTAGTCTTAATGAAGCCAATGCATGTATGTCCATCAGGATGGACCTATCACAGTCCAGTTACTCTTCCTAAAGTTAGCTTACTTCAGGCAAGAGGGATTCTACTGCAAAATAGCCCTTGAGTTGCTGTGGCTACTGTGGCATTGCATTCATTTGTGATCTTGGGATCATATCCTAGTCAGCAGAGTCACTCTATGAATTATTTCCTGGTAAGTTGTGAAAGTTTTGCTTTCTGGGCATACAGGGTAAGAGGCTGAAATTGTGGGAAGATGCTAGAAGACTAGAGCTGCTGATGTTAGTCTACATCAATATTACAAAGTGGACATGTTAGCAGCTGAGGAACTGTGAGTACTTGGGTTTGGGGCTATAGTCTCTGACTAGCCAGCCAACTCACATTAAAAGCATCATGGCAGCTGAGTAAAGCATTTGTGTTTGTGATCAGGACTGGAGTAAGAGGCAACTAGAGTTAACTTTACAGTGGAAATAAATCTGAGATCCTTCTCTCTAGAAAACCTCCAGTTCCTGTTTGACCTGGTCCAGCAAGCATCCCTGATGATTTCCATGGGGAGCCTGCTGGTGGAGCTCTCCAAACAACAGTGGGATCTTAATGAAGGATGACTTGGAAATTTCATAGCATGATAGGCTCCTTAGTGCATGTCCAAGTAAGAAACTGTGTGCGTTATGGAAGTTCTCCAAAGGAACAAATGCATCATAGACAAGAAACCTGACAGAAGTGTAAAATATACTGTAACCTAACTACCTTTAACGACAAAGAACATTTTAAACTTGGCCAATCTCAGTAAGAGGGAGCCATTTATTTATTTGAGTGATCAGACTGGCATTCAGATGCTTTTAAATGGGCATCTGGGTGTCTAAAAAGCGCTTTGTCCATTAGCATTTAGACCTGGAGACTTCCATTTAGACAATCAGAACTGAAAACTGGACTGAGAAACTATATACATGAGAATAATATAGAATGCAGGTAAGAATATTGCTACTATTTAAAACAAATTCTTTGCATTTAAAAAATAGGCCGTGACCATGACTGTGAAGGTGGAAGAACACTGAGACAGTGCAGGAAGTTTTTTCTTGGTAAGATGAGCCACTAGGTGGTAATTTGCATAATGATATCATGGAGTGAACATTTTCAGGCTGCATTTTAATTTTCTAGCTTTAGAATGCCTATTACAGGCTGACACCAAGCACCCCATTCTACACAAAGGTAACTAGGGGCTTTTTAAAGCACCCATTGACACTGACAAGGGCAGGTGGCCTTTGGCTAACTCTTTATAAACCTGAATGGCAGATGGAAGATAAAGAGCCAAAAGTGTGTGGGGGTGGGGGGGGAGAGAAATGCAGAGAAAGGGGAAGAGGTATATGGAATGAAAAACAGAGAAGAAGAAAGCAACAGCCTATGTCTAGGACAGCCAGGGAGTAAAGGCAGAGCCTAGGCATAGTGAATGAAAGGGGTTCAGGAGGCTGAGAAGCAGACAAATATAGGCAATGGAAAGAAGCATCTATGAGGTCTCTAGGGAGATAAAGATAACAGCAAAAAGAGTAAGAAGGGAAGAAAGAAAAGTGGAGAAGAGATGGGGAAGACAGAATACAGGAAAACAGAAGGAAATAAAGCAAAGGTGTGCCACTTGGGAGGCATAAGGGGCTAATTATCCACTCATAAATTCATGGCAAAATAACATCCCAATGTCTCAGTCAAGAAGATCATCCCATGCGTTTTCACAAGCGGCAGTCCTCAAAGATGAAAGAGAAGTGAAAACAGAATGGAGGCAACATGACTGTGTGCTCTAGGTTTGATTCCCTGTCTTCAATCAGTTTATTTATGTATCTAGATTTATATCATATGATAAAAAAGAACATATTTTCTGTGCTCTAGGTACCTTTGCCACTGATCAGAGGATTTACCTTAGAGAGACAGCTATTTCTACTGATAGCAAAAGGCCAATTTAGATTCCTCACATTACACTATTTATATACACTTGCTTAAGAAAACAAATATCACACATTTGCTGGAGCTTCTTTCATCATTTATCAGCCTCTCTCCTCAAGATATGGATCTAAATCCTGTCATTTCTCCATCCCTCCCATTTCCCTTATTTATGCCCCACCTGGGAATCAACCAAGAATATAAAAGTTACCACAAAATACTGTATTGTGCTAGTTACTTTGGTCACAACAGTTTTATTCATTCCCTGGATGACTAGTTGGTTTCTAATGGAAACAACTAATCCCAGTTGATGTTGGCCATTGTGAGATGTTTGCGTGAAATTGCACGACAGCCATGCACAATGGTGCTGCAACTGATATGGACTGCCACAGGAAGTGCCTATTTATCTAGCAAGCTAGCTAGCCAGTCTGTGTATTATGAAGGGTATTTAAATAGTGCCAGCCACCGTCGTTTCTATGTACTACAAACCATTGTAGCATGTATTGCAGCAACTGATCAGAACATGCGTTGATTCTTAGTTTGACACATTCTCATGTTACCTCAATGTAGGCTGTTTCATTAATTTATGGATGTGGTATGCAAAGCAGAATCTGCAAACAGAAAGGGAAATAAGAGCTTCCTCTCATTCCCTCCGCTACTGCAGAAAAACCCTTGGAAGGGGAAAAAGAACCCGGTAAGAAATCTCTATGGTTTTATAGTTATGCAGAACAGTACAGAATCAAGATTGTAGTAGAGGAAAGCAAAGAGGTGGGGTATGGCACTATAAGCCATTAGAAATTGCATGAATCTAAGGAAATTTTGCTCCCAACCCTGTGAGCTCTCAGTGCATGAGGAAAATACCTAAGTAGTTGGTATTAGCTACATTCACTTTATCACATGTTATTACTTGCATCTCTGGCATGCAAAGGGAAAGTATGCCTCCTCCACCTACCACCTGCAAGACAGATTCTCAAGGGGTGTGATTACAGGAGATGGGACAGTTCCCAGCCAGCCCCAGGCTCCATGGAGCACTCTCCACGGAGCCCAGAGCTGGCTGGGATCTGCCCCAGAACTGGACAGTTCCCGGCCAGCCGAGGGCTTTGCAGGGAAGCCCCACTGGGCACAGGACCCCTCCCAATGTGTATAGGGCAAAGAGCCAGGTGCCGCTGCAGCCAGCAGAGCTCTCCTGGCCCCATGTGCATGAGGACGGGTCCCCCCGCGCTCCCTGCCAGTCCCTAGGCTAGCACCCAGGCAGAGCTTAGAGCTCCCCCTGGCAGGGGGACAGAGCAGGGTGGGAGCAAATCTGCCCCCAAGACAGAACACATCTAGATGTGCTCCCAGGTAGACTTACTGCCCAGTATTTTTACTGCACACTAAGCCTACTTTGAATTAATAGCACATGTAGACATGCCCAAGAAGAGGCAAGCACAATGCATCAGAATTAACAGATGGAGCTAAATAGTCAATAGCCTTTGTTTACCTGTTTACTGTCCTCTTGTTGCCACCCATACAGACATGCAAGAAGATGCATTAAGCATGAGACAACAACCACAGGGAAGCTGTATGGATCTCATGAAGATTACTTCTGACCAGAGGCAGAAGCCACCAGGTGCTGCCATGCTTGTGCTGTGGCTGCTGGGAACACCCTTTTTAGAAGACATTACACCTCAGGGATATGTGATGGTACCAGAAACAATGAGCTCCAGTCGTATAGCATGAGGCTTGAAAGTCCTGCCAGGGGTTGTGAACACCACAGGGTGGCCAATATGAAACACTTCAGTCACATTCTGTGCTAAAGTGTAATTACTGGATGCAAGCGGATCTCTAATTTTAACCAGTCCGTTCCCCCACAGTTACTATGGTGCCAGCATTTCCTTTGTAATGACTCCACTTTGCAGGAATGCCTCATTACCTAAAAAGAAATCATGCTTGGCTGCAGTCTAGAACACAGCAACAGAACAAATTTACCTCATTAAAAAGATTGGCTCAGTCATTTCTTTTTAAATTATGCAATGGAAAGCAGTTTAAAAATGTCCACTTGCCCCCATATACTTCAAAATATATCTTGAGTTAAACAGCCCCATCTGGCAATCAAGGTGCAAAGTACATACTGTGATAACATTTTCATGCACCCTGATGAAATGGTACTCCAAGATATGACAGAACATGTGTTCAGTTTTCAAATGCGGATGCTTAAAATTAGATCATGTTAAACATAGCATATACGCTTGTAAATGGGCTTGAAGATACCTAAACACCATTTATACATCTAAATAATTTTAAGCACCCAACTGTAGGGTACTAATTTTAAGCACCCAACTGTAGGGTACTAATATTGAAGGCTGGACGTTCTCATCTAAGGGAGAACCACAAAACAACATGTTAATGCATTCTCCTAAAAGACCTGTCCTCAACTCTTGCCTGCATTGCCCATGGAATGAGATGAGTAGTCTTCTCCTACTTTCCTGCAGCCACTTGTGGACACGCAACAGCCTCAGACAAAACTATTTATTTTCAAACCATTGAAAACCTTCACTTTAAAGGGATCTACAGCCATAATAAGTAATCTTCAGGCCAGGACTGAGATGCTTCAGCAGAGCTGTGCAGGAGAAGCATGGACAAAGCAAGTTATTGTCAGTCCTATAATCTCTTTGCTTTCAATAATTGCTCATATCTGCACAAAAATTACAAATATTAGTGGCCAGTTGAAGGACATAACTCAGACATTGTCCACTCCATTTTCCCATAACACCCTACCAGGAAAACTGGGAAATGCCCAAGTCATTTTGTTATCGAATCAAGATGACCAGCCTTTATCTTTATATTGATTGCCTCTTTTGTCCTGAGTTCTTGCCTGAAGGACATTTTATGAATGTAAATTTGACTGATGGGCTGATACATTTATATTCATGAGAACTTAGTGGGCCCTAAGCAGATTAGCATTAGTTTACACTCCAATTTTATCAATAATAATCAGGAAGAGGAGGGATTAATCAGAAACAGGCAAATAGTTTCAGTCTTCTAATCTCATCATATCAATGCTGTGTACTCAGCCCAACAATGTGCACAGCGTATACTGTGTGATAGGCCAGCAACCATAACGATTTTTCAAGCCCATGTTTAGTATTTCATTGATGCTGCCTGTACACCCATTTGCCACAAATGTATTTTTACATGAAGCAGCATAAATGGCAATTAAAGAATTATTTTAAGGAGATAATGGAACAATAAACTGTGCTTTGAGCATTGCCATGCTCTGTGCTACAATAGTTGCACCCCAGTTGCACCACTCTGTAACATGTGAACTGCAGATTTCCCTACCATAGATGCACAGGTAAAAATCAGAGAACAAAATGTCCTGAAATCATTGTTCACAGCAAGTTTATTTCAGGAGTAAGGATGGTACAGACCAAAAAAAGAATATATAATTGTTTTGCCTATTAGCAGCAATGACCAGGTTGTTATATGTACTCCGGGGTGTGTGGAGGAAGGGGAGGTGCTTTAACTAAAGAGGCTCTTGGGAGCCACTCTAATTAAAGCGCCTGCAGTGTCTCGTGTATTCTGCACCTCAAAATGGTGGTGGGGGCACTTTGACTAAAGCTTGTTTGACAAGTTTTAATAAAGGCACCACTGCCACCATTTTTAACTGTGGGGACGCTGAATACATGTGATGCCAAGGCTGCCGGAACATGCTAATTAGCACACACCAGCATACTAAATTAATTGAGTCTGTTCCAACACACTCTAATTAGAACGTTCTAATTAGAATATGTTGGAGCAGGTGATAGGCGTGGGTATAGGTGCCCAATGTGTCAAAGTAGCTGGATCTACACTAGACTGTGATGCAAAAGCTTACACGTTTCAAGGCTAGATGTACCACTCCATGAACAATACCAGTGTTTGGAGCACTAATATAGATAATGGACTGATATTTTTAATACTTCATAGTTTCATAGTTGGTAGGGTCGGAAGGGACCTGAGTAGATCATTGAGTCCGACCCCCTGCCATGGCAGGAAAGAGTACTAGTGTCAAACGACTCCAGCAAGGTGTACATCTAGCTTCCTCTTAAAGACCCCGAGGGAAGGAGCCAGCACCACTTCCCTTGGAAGTTGGTTCCAGATCCTAGCCGCCCTGACTGTGAAGTAGCGCCTCCTGATGTCTAGCTTAAATCTACCCTTTGCCAGCTTGTGACTGTTATTTCTAGTCACTCCTGGTAGTGCTCAGAGGAACAGGGACTTCCCCAGTGCCTGCTGGTCCCCTCTGACTAGTTTGTAACAGGCCACTAGATCCCCCCTCAGCCTTCTCTTGTGGAGGCTGAACAGGTTCAGGTCCCGTAGCCTCTCCTCGTAGGGCCTGCCCTGCTGCCCCCTGATCATGCGAGTGGCCCTCCTCTGGACCCTCTCCATGTTGTCCACATCCCTCCTGAAGTGCGGTGCCCAGAACTGGACACAGTACTCCAGCTGCGGCCTGACCAGTGCCGCATAGAGGGGGAGGATCACCTCCTTGGACCTGCTCGAGTTGCATCTGTGGATGCATGACAAGGTACGGTTGGCCTTCCTGACTTAGGCCAGATCCTATTACAACTTAAGAGTACCTGAACGTGATCCTATTTCAGTCTGCTTGAATCCCTGAAAAAACTATTAATACAGAAGGTGGGTGGATCCTTCTTCTCCCCTCCTCGTTCTGTTGTGATGTAGTCCTAAGATCAAGATAACAGCATGATACAAAAATAGATGAATTAATGGCTTTTCCGGGTCTTAAATAGAGTGGAATAGAATTGCACTGAGGAGCTTGTCCACTTGGAATATGGGCGCTGGTTTTCTAACCTTGCTTAGAACAAGTCTAGAGAACATGGTGAAACTATCTGCTACTGCCAGAATGGTTTCACATTAGGGTTGGGGATTTGACTGATCAAATAATCTTTGTTTAATTGACCAGTCAAATATTGGTAAAAAAATTATAAAAAATTGCCAGTAGGCCCAAATGATACACAGAAAAAGCACAAATTTTCTATTAAGAAGTGTGTCGAAAACAATTTTAAAAATTATATTTCTGTCAAGAAAACTATAAAAAATGTAGGTCTTCTTGTAAAATTGCTATAATCATTGACCAGTCAAAAAATATGCAGTCAATTGACTGATCAATTGACAATATTTGCCCGGTCAACTGTCCGGCTTGCCAGCCCGATTTAACATCGTAAGTAAACATTTAAATTGTGCTCATGCTTAGTGACATCAAGGCTCCCAGTCATTGCTATCACTGCTGGTAGTGCAACAGCAGGAGATTTCTCAAGTAAAAGCAAAGAAGGCTGCAAGTCAATCTTCAATGAATTTGTTTTTTCTCAGAAGGTGTGTTTATATATCTACCACAATATGTTTAATTTTTAAAATTAAGTTAGCACCCAATCCTACTCTTGTTAAAGCCAATGGGAATAGAATTGTTTCCTTAGTGTTTAAACCATTGCCTTTGCTTAAGATGAGTCTGACCATTGTACAGGGGAAGCATGCACAAAACCTAACAAACAGTATTATTTCTTCACAAACTTGCACAGGAAACAGAATCAAGTTTTTATGCTCTTGCAGTCTGACACCAACAAAGTGATTTCTCAGGCCCCCTAACAAGATTTGACGTCAGCTTGCTGCTGTTTAACTTCCTCACGGGAGTTTCTTTTACTTGCAAATATACTTTATATTATAATCACAGTGCTACACTGCAAAGAGAATAGTGGGCTTGTTTTGGGATGCTTCTTGTCAGAGTTGTAACACTGACCAGGGTTAGCAATGGTGTAAGCTGTACCACAGCCAACGTCTAGGCAGCTGCCTGTTCTTCTTCCCTTACATAAATCTGAAACCTCTGAGCAGAGTTAAATGCTACATAGTGGTAAAAATGCTGATGTCAGATCTGTACTAGGCCTTCCATGGCTGCTACCACTCATGGAATAGGAGGACCAGAGGTTGTGAAATGGGGGTAAATTAAAGAGCAAATTCTTGTGCATATGCAGCCTACCTAACCTCAATGAATGCAGTCTGTGACTAGAACCTTGTAGTGAAGTTGCAACTATTTCAAACTCCTATGCATTCTTAAACCAGACATGATTTGCCAACAATGCCTCTTCCAAATGAGTGGCTACATATTGCATTAGCATTCCCAGATGCCCTGCCTCAGCTCAGGAAGCCTGAGGGTAAAAAATAAAATCCAGGAAGCTCTGGGATGTTCTTATGCCTCAGAGAACTACTGTGCAAATCACACTAATTGTTTGTTAGATGAACAATAATCACTAATTAACATTGTTAAAATGTCATCAGTGATCACTAATTAACATTGTTAAAATTTGTTAACAAAGGAAATTTAGCAATATCTTATTTAGGAAGGATTTCTAATTTGTGATATACAGCATGTTAGACAAATAAGGCACAACTCTCTCTTTGTTTCTCAGCTCTGCAGCAGGAGAGATTACATGATATGACACAACACATTCTGCATTTGCCATTTATCATTCTATATCTTTTACACACTTGTGCTGTATAATTAGTGCCCAGGCTAATTTTACCTGTGTTATTGTTTGCCCTGTAATTTGGAGAGAACAGGCCATGCTGATGCTACATGATTTAGTCTGGGGCAATCAGCTGGCTTTTTGCCACAAGACTTCTGCTTACATGCAACTGCAATGAAGTACATACACTGTAACATAAAGAGAACCTTTCAGTGTCTTAATTTAGTTAATTGTATGGTAGGAGATTAGCAGCATTCTTCAGTTTTTCTTTTCTAAATACAATACACAAGCATCTAACCTTTCAGGGCTCTGTTCTAATGTAAAGCCATTGTATACTACTGGAAAAAGTATCCTCCATTTATCTATTACTTAATTATTAAAAAGCATCTACTCTGTTTTCATAAATTATCTATGTAACAGAGAGATGGCATATGAGAGATGGATTTAGGGAGATTACTCTGTCTATTATTTCATGGGGGGGAACAACAAGAGTCTAAAGGTCCTCAAATATAAAGCCTGCAACAATTGGAAAAAAAGTCAAGATTGCACGAGGAAATACCTTTAAAAGTAACACAATTAGATCAGCACACTTGTCTCTGTTGATACTATCAGGCAGAGTACACCAACAATTGGACAGCCTTTGAAACGAACATATTTATCATATAATACAAAAGCATGTTTGTAACACAGTACCAAGAGCTACTCACTGCAAGACTATGGGAAACTTTACTCATCTTCTCTTTGGTGGAACTGATGCAATGGTAGTTTCACTTCACAGAAGGCAAGGTAGATATGCACCTTTACAGATTAGG